AACAAAAGAAAAAATTTCATTCAATAAAAACATTTTGTTATTTACGTATCCATACATTTAAATAAATTGTGTATTTTAAAAGAGATATCTTTATGCCATTTTCTTTACATATATTGCAGAGACTATGAGAAAATATCCACCTCTTCCTATCTTGAATCGCATTTGCACCAAAGAAATAAACTTACCAACAATAAATGTTTGCGTGCCAGAAGGGACATTAATAACTATTCCGGTGCTTGGACTACATCGAGATCCGTCAATATATCCAGATCCAGATAAATTTGATCCTGAACGATTTAACGCAGACAAAGTAAAAGAAAGGCATCCTTATGCTTTCATACCATTCGGAGAAGGTCCGCGAAACTGTATTGGTGAGAATATAAATTAATTTATTAATCTAATTTCTGTTTATATTTAAATCATTATAATATCCAACTATTTTTATAATCGTATGTTTATTTTTTATGATACTTATATATACATTTAAATTGGCAATCGTTTTAATAACTTTTATTTCAAAAATCCTTTTTAATTATATTAAAAATATGTTTTATTTGTAGCAACTTTGTTAATAAAATATAGTAACAAATATTCAAAAAGGTTTTTTTTTAATATCGTGTTAAAAATAATAAATAAATCAATCGCACAAACATTATCACAAGATACTTAATAAAATATTTGTTTTGACAAATTATATATATATACATATCATTGAAATATTAGTTGAAGCATTAATTCTCTCTTCATCTTCTTGCTTTCTTTCTCTCAGTCTTTTCACGAAAATATTTATAAAAAGTTTATAAATTAATAATTTGATCTTGTATAATGTTTATGATATTGTTCTATACAGAAAGTATCAGTAAATATTTATTATATATATTATTAAAAAAAAATCTGTAATAATTTAAATTACGCAAATGTCGCATAAATATCAATTTATACAAATTATTAATTTTTAGGTATGCGGTTTGCCTACGTGCAAATAAAAATTGGACTCGTGAGTCTTCTGTCAAAATACAAGTTTAAACTTCACTCCAAAACTCGGGTCCCAATCACTTTTACTGAAAAATCTATGACCCTCTTAGCGAAAGACGGAATATATCTTATTATCGAACCAAGATAACGTAATAACACTTTTACATAAAGCAAAAATGTTTTTATTCTTTACTTTTGAAAAATATGTATTAATGAATTAATCAATATTGTTTAATATACGACAGTTATTAATACACATAAATATAATGTATAATATGATATAATATATAATAAATAAGTAAATAATTATAATATAATAAATAAGTAAATATTATTACAATAGTTATCAATGTACGACAGATATTAATACAGTGCAATCTCGACAACTCAAACCTCTATAAGACGAAAATTTTGTTCATCCCCTTCCGCTCCGTTGTGGAAAACTTCTTTGAATCGAAATAAAACCTATTTTAACTCGAATTATTTGTCAGGTATTTAAATATATATTTTATTTCTGTAACTCGAATTTAAAGTAGCCAGACCTCTACAAATCAAAGTTCACCTTTATAAGTTGAACTTTCATTGACGCTATCTCTATAATTCGAAGTTGTAGCTATGTGTATCCGTGAGTAATAGCCTGGTATTTTATTTTATGGTTACATTTATCATATGTATGCAATAAATAATTTACTGTTAAATATTGATTTTTTTTCTCTAAAAGCCATTATAATCAAAAAATTATAAACTCTCGTACAAAGCCTCCTTAAGTCGAATTTTTGAATTTTGTTAAGTCGAAAATTCTATAACTCGAAAAGTTTTTCTGGTCCCTTAAGATTCAAGTTATCGAGGTTCGATTGTATTAAAAAATAATATATATAGAAGATTTTTATGTATTTTATGCTACTATTTTTCTTGTTATTATTTCTGGTTCTTGCATTTATATTATGTCTTATTATTTAATGTAATAATATACATATTCTTGCTTATGCTTTGTTATACATTTCACGTGCCCCCGGCCTTTAATTAGTACGATAAACAAGATTTTAATTCCGACGGCGATATTCACTTTAACTAATACCTTAAAAAGTTTCATAAAAATCAGAAATGAGTCGCGTTAGATTAATAGCTCAAGCCAATGTAGTTTATAAAAATTTTTGTCATGACTGTACTCTGGCGAAAATGAGAAGTTTCATGAGCGTTTTTTTGACGTTTACATAAGCGTTTGCAGCAGTTTGTTTAAAATTTAGAATCAGTCTGTAAAAAGTGCCTAGAGCGGAAATTGCAACGCTGCAGCGTTTCAAAAGCGTTTGTATACAGCGTTTTTGACAGTTTGTACAACGTTTACTTGACGTTTAGCGTTTATTGACAATTCTTAAAACGTTTATAGATTCTATGTTAAGTGTTTAATAGACG